GGGGGGGGGGGATAAATAAATGGGGAGCAAGATGAGAGAATAAGATGTTTTGGATGAAATGAGAAGGATTTGGGTCATGGAGGACAGTTTTGTTAGAGGGGCGGTTTGCGTGGAGAAAAGAGGAAAGAGGAGTGGAAAAGGCCTTCAAATCACATTATCCCCATGTCTGTTTTTCATCTGAACATAAAAGCTGACATGGGATGATTCTCATATGCTGTCCGGTGGCGCAGCGTGATCCGGCTGATGCATTCACCCCCTCTGATCCGCACAGAGCATGACATCTTAGCACTTTTCACGGCGGTGACCAGAAAAACCTCCCGGTAATCTTTTGTGAGAAGTCGCAAAATGAGAGTGAAGCTCAGACTGAGTGAGAGCTAAACTGCTGACATCAAAGTGAAGCAGAACTAGGCCATAAATGTGGAGCAGGTTGTGTGGTGTGGCTTTATTAAAAACCAACGTCGGCTTCAGTGAAAAGGACAAAGCAAGCCGGGCTTTGCTCTTCACAGGGTCTGACTTAAAAGAGGCAAAGTGCTGCAAAAAAAAAGTGAATGCGTGGCATCCTTTATCTTATTTAAAGCGTTCCCAGGGGACTTTTCTTTATTTGATCAGACTTCTGCACCGTCAAGGAGCGGCTAAAGCACAACATGAAAATTAGCCTGTCTTCCTCGAGGTCCGAAGCAGCTATAAGGACTTCACTGGGATTTGACTGTATGAAAATGTATTTACAAGTCGTAAGTGATCAGAGTCTATGTGGAGTTAATCCTCCTCAGAGTCCGGGCTTGAACTCTATCGAAGCAGTGTGGGATCATCAGACAGAGAACGGAACAAAAAGCAGCCGACGTCCAAAGAAAAGCTTTGGGACGTCCTTCAAGAAGCCCGGAGAACTGTTTTTGAAGGGTGTCTCCTCACCAAATATCGACTTCCATGCTCATTGGGATGATAAAAACCCTGCTTTCTTTCCCCCTTTTTCACCATGTTTCCACTTCCATTCACATGAGCACATCTTAAACTTTTTTGCACATCCAAGTTAAAACAGGATTAAAGCTTTCTGTTTTTCCTTTTTTTTCGGAGAAAGGGGAAGTGGTGGTTGCACCATAATGTGCTTTCCTTTTAACAGCTTCCTTATTTTCTACATCCCTTTATTGCCTTTTCTTCAACTGAACCGAAGGTCTGAAAACCACCGATCATTAATGGTGGAGTTGTTCCTACAGGAGGGGTGACTCTTATCACTGTGGCACACACACACCGGGTCAGTTTGGAGGCGGATAAGAGAACAGTGGAAGCATGAGAATGTAAGAAACGCAAGGAACCAAAAGAGAAAGATCTCTTCTAACGGTGAATAATGCATTGCACTCAGAACGAATCCAAAAGCCTCCCCTCACAGCTATGAGCTCAGGCTCCAAGCAGCTGCACTAAACGGGCGCCTGTACCTTTAAGAGGCGTCACTCCGGAAGAAACTGAAAGTAAACTGGGTTCTTGTGAAATAACTGACGCTAAATAAACACGTTCATGTTTACATCTTACTCCTTTGGCCCACTTCTGCATCCGTGAGTAGACATTACACAGTCAGATTCTCTTTTTAACTCTTTAAAACTTCTACTAACAGGGCTCAGAACTGTGCTTCAATCCCACTCTCTGATCGTTAATGTTGCTATTTGCAAATATAGTTATGTTTGCTTAATTGATTAACTGCAAATGCCATTCAGGAGGCTGACATGCATCACGTGCGCCCTTCAGCTGATTGTGAGGTTTTTGTGAAACGAAGAATTTCGCGTTTCTGAGGCGTTTTTCCGCAGCTGTTTTCCAGGCCAAGAGAGGACTTTGGACGTCAGCAAACGTGGTTGAGAAGGTAAAAAAAAAAAAAAACGTTTTAGCCTTGTTTAAACTCTGCAAAGACTGGATTGTTTTTGTATTTTTGCTCCTTCTTTTTGCTTTTTACATAATTAAAGCCTGTGAAGTTAATGCGAGTTGCCAGGTTTGAGTGTTTTCAGCGAACAGCTGGGATGAGAATGCTTTAACAGCCACTCTCCCACTTCTGGTTCATGTTGCAATAAGTTTTCTCAACTTTATTCAGACTTTTCCAGCAGTTAGTTCCTAAGAGTATTACGTATGTGCTCATAAGAGAGAGATTATAAATTATGAGCTAAATTACAGTTTACGCTGTCAAGTTTGAAACCTTTTCTTTGTTCGTTTGTTTCTCTTTGGATACAGGCTCGTACATTTGACCCCAAAATAATTAGATCATTGATTTCAAAATGATTGCTTAGACTATTTAACATATTTGTGTTGCTACCTGTTGTTACCTAGAAGGAGGCTGCTCATATTGAGCTTTTAAATAGGGATAAAAATATACTTTTTTTATCAACGTTTTACTCCATGTGTTAATTCAAAACCATAGAGAAAATCAACTGGAATATCTGTTGAAGCCCCATAAAGCTTCTAAATCTCAATGAATGTTTACATTTTTCCCCCTTAATTACAAAATGATTTGGTATGTTAGGCACAAAAAAAAAGAACGGCTTGAAAGAAGAAGTGGATTAGATTAGATTAGATTGAGATGGAAGACTGGCTGAAATTCCTCAGCCATCTGCAAGGCATCTGAAGATGAAGGGAGATCTTCGCTAAGAGCCCAGAAATTACCCAAAATATACATCCAAGTCAAATAGAGAGAGGCTTCAACTGCCAAGCTAAAAAAGACATGCCAAAGTAACAGCTTCTTACTCTACAAAGAGGCAGGAAAAGATCCCATTTGTCCATAAACGTAGAACTTTTCTTATTTTTCCAAAACCAAATGTCTATCCTCTTTTACTCTTAACTTTTTATTAGATAAAAATCATCTTATTCTCTAACCCAGATCATGATTCCCCATCATCACTTTAGTTACTTGGCTTTTATTTGCTGTAAATTTTGTCTTTAGATAGTTTTTACACTCAGTCAGCAGAAATGTGAGTTTTAGTGCAACACACACACACACATCTGGGTTAACTGGTTCTGACTGTTTTTTGCTTTTAATCTAAACCTAAACCATTTTTTGGTTTGTTTGTTTTTTCGCTGCCTGCACTGTAAAATGAGCGGATGCTTGTTTAAATGAACGGACCTGAATGTAAATAGTTTCTTTTTTAAACCAAGCTCCAGTAGTTGTTAATCACTAAAGGTTTTTTTTTCTATGATGAGGCGTGACACTGAATTTATTTCTCACCCGCTCAAAGAACTGATCTAAAAAACACCAATCTGGCTCCTTCCTGTTTCGCCCCCCCGCTCACATATAAAACCATCCACCCTCTTTTCTAATTCTTGAGCGACTTGGCTGTAAATCTCTGAAGCAAAGAGCTGCTGGCATTAAGTGAGGCTTAATGCCAGCGGAAGCTTTCCTCAGAGGGGGGCTCACAGCCCGGGACTCTGCCCCTCTTTTTAGGTCTTCTTCCTTTTGCTTTCACTTGCTCCTTTTATTCATCACCTCCTCGTGCCAAAATCCCCCCCCCCCCGGCAGCATTTTTTCCTCCTGTACTGATTCCAAATTAAGATCTGCTTTGCAGCACATAAAAAGCTGACCTGGCTTATAGAATGGAACTGAGAAACGTTCTCTGTCTAAAATTAAATCATACATTTTTTAAGTACTTTAGATAGAAAAATGCTCGGGTGTGGTGTTTAGCACCATCGCCTCACAGCAAGATGGTTCTGGGTTCGAGTCCCGGGGGAACCAGGTCCTTGCATGTTCTCCCTGTGTCTGTGTGGGTTCTCTCCAGGTTCTCCGGCTTCCTCCCACCGTCAGAAAACCTGCATCATAGGTTGATTGGACATTCCAAACTGCCCTTAGGAGTGAGTGTGAGTGGTTGTTGGTCCTTGTGTGTCTCTGTGTGACCCTGCGATGGATTGGGGGCCCATCCAGGGTGTACCCCGCCTCTCCCCATTGGCTACTGGGATAGGCTCCAGCGGTTAAGAAAATGGATGGATGGATAGAAAAATGCTCCGAAAGTGTGTCTCATTTTTTTATGTGATGTTTCCCTGTGTGTTTTAATTTTTTTAGAAATGGCGTCCGGCAGCAGCAGCCTGTTCTCTGAGGAGCAGTTTCTTTGTCCCATTTGTCTGGACGTGTTCACCCGCCCCGTTTCCACTCCGTGCGGACACAACTTCTGCATGGCCTGCATCGGCTCCTACTGGGACGGGGCGCTGTGCCAGTGTCCCGTCTGTAAGGAGAGCTTCCCCAGGAGGCCTGACCTGAAGGTCAACACTTTCATTTCCGAGCTGGCCGCCCAGTTCGTGTCGCTCCAGGTGGGCGAGGCCGGCGTCCAGAGCGCCGGGCGGCCGCCGGCGGGCCCCCCGGTCCCGTGCGACATCTGCACCGACGCGCAAAGGGAGGCGGTCAGGTCCTGCCTGGAGTGCCTGAGCTCGTACTGCGACGTCCACCTGGAGCCCCACCGCCGAGCGGCCGGCCTCAAAAAGCACACGCTGATCCCGCCGGAGGCCGGCCTGGAGGGGAGGGTCTGCGGGAGCCACGGCCGGCTGCTGACGCTGTTCTGCGCGGAGGACGGCGCCCCGCTGTGTGCCGCCTGCGCCGCCTCGCACCGCGCTGACCACCGGGTGCTGCCCGTGCCGCGGGCGTACCAGGAGGCCAGGGTCCAGCTGGGTCAGGCCCAGGCCCGGGCGCAGGGGTTGCTCCAGGAGAGGCTCCGCAGGGCGCAGGGCGCCAGGGAGGCGGCGCGGCGGAGCGGGGCCGAGACGGAGCGGCTGAGGGACGCCGGCGTCCAGGAGCTGGCGGCGCTGGAGGCCGCGGTCAGGAAGGCGCGGGCGGAGCTGGCCGCCGCGGCGGAGGAGAGGCAGAGGGCGGTGGAGGAGCGGGCCGAGGGTTTGGCGGGCGAGGCGGAGCGGGAGATGGTCGAGCTGCACGCCGCCGCCGCCGCGCTGCGCGAGCTGGAGCAGAACCAAGACCCGCTGGACTTCCTGCGGAGCTGGGCGCCGCGCCGCCCGCCCCCCGCCGCCGCCGACCCCTCCCCGGTCAGCTTTAACCCGCACCTGGAGGTCCAGCACGCCGGGGCGACGCTGAAAAAGCTGTTCTCTCAGCTGCGTGCTCTGCTGGACGCCGTAAACGCGGAGATTAGCAGGTTCTCCAGCGGCGCCGGCGGCGCCCCGGACGAGGCGGCGCTCCGCTACGCGCAGCGGCACGAGGTGCGCGTGGAGCTGGACCCCGACACGGCCCACCCCCTGCTCAGCCTGTCGGCCGACGGGAGAGGGGTGCGCTACAACGCGGGCGCCGGCCTGTGGGCCAACCAGCTGCCCAAGCCCGGCATGTTCACCGAGCACCTGGCCGTCCTGGCCCGCGAGGGCCTCCCCCTGGGTCGGTCCTACTTCGAGGTCAGCGTGGGCCGGAAGACGGAGTGGTGCCTGGGCGTGGCCGCCGCCTCCGTCCAGAGGAGGGGCGCGCTGGTGCGCGACCCCTCCAGCGGCCTCTGGGCCATCTGGTTCCTGGAGGACCGGTTCGAGACCTTCAGCTGCCCGGCGGTCCCGGTGCACGCGGGGAGAGTGGAGCGGGTGGGCGTGTTCGTGGACTACCCCAACGGTCAGGTCAGCTTCTTCGACGTGGACAGGGCGACGGCGATTCACTCGTTCGCGGACTGCGTCTTCACCGAGGAGCTCTACCCGTACTTCAATCCCTGCGACAACGAGTACGGCGCCAACTTGGATCCCATGGAAATCGTCCCGGTTTGTCCTACAGAGTGAGCAGATCTTCCTCCTCCTTCCTCTTACATTTCTGCTTGTAGGCTGGGACCTCTGGGCAGAAGTCAATGCCGAACAGCCAATACGGAGCCCGTCAGCAGAAAACAGACGCACATCGACCCCACTAATGTTTGTGTGGGTTTTTCTTTTCTTTTTGCAAAACAAAACTCAAATATTCAACCTTTGAACACAAGGTAACTTTTACATTAAGAATCCCTCTGACTTCGACAGAATTATTCATAATCCTTCTCTGGACAAGAACTAAACTACCTGACACATGTTGTTTTATTCTCACAAACCTAAGCTTCAGTTCCATTTTTAAACCCCTTTGGCTAAAGAATTTCCACATTACTGAACTCTTAATCCAGACAAAAACCTGAGTCTTTACCCATTGACTACATCGATCTTCCTTTGGAACCGTTTAAGACTCCCTGGCTTTTTCGTTGATCTTGATTCTGAGTTGGAGAACGATGTGATTTTACAGTGGCAGTATTCCACTCAAGAGGGTTAAGAAGGCCCGGTGTTCTTCACGGTGAGCCGTCAAATTCAAGCTGAATTTTTAACATGCACCCAAAACGAGACGACGGCAGGTTGAGTCAAATGTTTGCAAACATGGTTCCCTTCATTAATTATTCAACTTTAAGAGAGTGTAGCTAGCTGATTTAACAAAGACGAGCATTAAATATTTAACTGAACTCAGTTAGGGTGAAAGCTGTAATAAGAAGGCAATCGGGATGGCAAGGTGTTTTTTATTATTTTATTTAAACGAGGTAACATCTGCAAATCCAGTGAATGCTGCTGGCTCTGTGATATGATCAACCGATCGCTGCTTCATTTTTTTTGTTTTTACGAATCACTATGATTAATCGGGGAGGTTGTCTACGATTAAATGTTCCAGCTCCACGCTTCACACGGCAGCTCTGTTTTGTTGCGTCCAAAATTGCTTTTCTGAGTCCAGTTTGGGACGTCAGTCACCAGTGAATAAGACCAGACAACGAAAGGGAGGAGGACGGATAAATATGTAAAGGAGATTTGAAAAGTTTCTAACATTTCTGTTTTGTTTCTAACGCATTTGTAAACATGCGTAAGTAATTATAACTGCACTAATATTAAATCATGTAAGCTATTTATTTTGTGTTTGCTCAATATTGTTCGTACAAAGCATCACTGATAAATTGCACAGTAGATTTTAATGAAACTTTATTTATCTTGCTTCAATTTTAATGAAGTAAAAAAAAAGACTGTGTAATCCAAAAAGCGGCGTTTTCTCTGTGTATCTGTCGCATATTTCCTTTAAATTTCATCATCACTCTGCCTGCTTGTTTTTTCTCTCCACTACTTGTAAATTGCACCCCCTCTTATCCTCGTTTGGCTCACTCAGGCTCTTTAATTCATTTCAACACCCGCAGCGCTCACACCCTCCTCATCGCCACGACAACCGTACCCTGCCCATCGCCATGGGAACGCTCAGTCTCCCTGCTCCTATAATCCATTTCCCTTCCACAATGAGTGTTTGACACGGTTTACACTGGCAGGCCGGCAGTATGGGGGGTGGGCGCTTGGAAACGGCACCTTCCACACAAAACACAAACAGCTGGGGACCGTCCGAATCCAAAAACGTTCGCTTTTACACACCGCAACCACCTTTTTGTGCCACAAAGAGAGGTTTCTAGTCACTAATCTTCGCCAAAGAGCACCGAGGTGGTTTCCACGTGATGAGCCGAGCCGGCGCGGCTGATGGATGGCGTGTTTGAAACTGCATTGCACCTAAACTCCCCCCATTTGTCAGCGTGTGTGTGCGGGTGTAAAAGAAGCAGCACTGGAAGTGAGCCCGAGCCAGAAGAGTCCCCCTCACCCCACCCCCACCCATCGTCGCCAAAGGCCTCCACTCCTCTGAGGGACGTACAGACAGAAAAGGGAAAAAGGGACAATGAGAAGCGGATGGGAGCCAGCGGGGTGGGGGGGGGACTTACAGTAAGGCTGAGAGTGGGAGCCGGAGGAGGCATCGCAGGAGAGGTGGAGGGAGGAAGGATTTATGAAGGCTTGGAGCCGGAGTGCGGCTTAAACCGGAGAAGGCATAAAAACAGCCGAGTGAGAAATGGGAGAAATAGAGGAGAGGATGGATGGAGAGAACGGGGGAAACGAGAGCATCAAATCCCACCTACCTGAGTTCTGCACCTCGTTTAAGTAGCTGTCCTGAGCCACCACCTGCAGACACACAAGAGGATTCCAATTCAATCAAATGAACTTCACTGATATTTGATTTTTGTGCTTATTGTCTATGTCTTTGTCAGCATTATTTTTCACAAAACACGTCTGGCGTGAAAACAAATGGTGGACCCGGTGAAGTCGGAAATGTGGATCAATTTCTGAAACGGGAGAGTTGTAATTCAGTGAGAAGACAAATGTGAGATTTACTGAGAGAGGACTCGGGCAGCCGGCCCCAGCTCATGTGCAAACAGGGCAGGTAATTATCTTCACAGCGAGAGAGAGGACGAGCTGATGAAGCCTCCGCCGAGCAGCCGGATGTCGGAGAAGAAGGGTCATTTTCACAGTGGACACGTCTGATATTAGGAGACTCCTCAGATTAAATGAGGGAATAACAGGAGAACCTTTTTTTCCATCATTGATGACTTAAATAAAACAGGCCCCAGCACGGAGCTGTGTTGTATTCCATCAGACATATCGAGCTTTAATATGGGGGGGGGCAAGCACACCTCTCCACCTTGTGATGATACAGAGCGACTGCTGGGTCCGGAGGGCTCTGGGGGGGGGCTGGGTTTTGAGAAGCAACCCCTCAGGCACACCGGGCAGAATAGTGACAGGTCTGACACTTACGGTGTCCTGTTGGGAGCCACATGTGTGAACAGAGCCGTGCACAGACTGTCCCCCCCTGGCAGGTAGCAGGAAAATCACAAGGCAGAGCCCCCGCCGAGTCTGAGGCCGGCTGAACGGCAGTTGTGACCCCCAGAAGCCCAATTCTGCGTCCACCCATAAACCAAGCATCCTGTGACTATACTGGGAATAAGCAGTAAAAGGAAATTGACGGATTAAAGAAGTCTGCATTTCACTGCCAGTTTTTTTAGGGAGGGGGGGATGTCAGAGAACATCTAGGCTATTCCATTTGATGTACGAAAAGGTGATCTTTAGATTTAGAAATGACAACAGTTTATATTAAAGACTAAACATTAGTAAGAAGATTTTATAAAAAATCATTTACAATGATTAATTAGGATATATCTTTTCATATTTGTGTATTCTCTCATTAAACCTCATGAATTTTCTTTGATCTCATTGTATTCATTTTGCTGTATTCATTTATTTCCGTGTATATTTTATCGTTAATTATTTTTAAGATTTGTTCTTTTTTGCGGCACACAAAGGACAAAAGCGCCTCTTACGGCATCCTTGACTGGAGCCTTGGCTCCTCGTGCTGGCAGCCGGAGGTCTTTGTTCTCCTGACTCTCGCCGTCATTTCTCTGCTCTGCTCGGCTCACCTTGAAGGCTTGGCTGCCATTCAGTCGGAATAAAACATTCACCATTTATTCTAAAATTCCTCTCACAAAAAGGTAATTCTTCTTGTAAAAGAGGGCAATGACTCATCCTTCCGGAAAATCCTTGAATATGTTTCAGTTTGGTCCGAATTCAAATGTTTTTCGTGCATTTTCTACAGCGGCGCTTTGACAACTTCCTGTTTTGTGTTGAAGATTGAATACCCCTTTTTTTTTTTTAAATCTGACGTCTTTGGGGAGGATTTTATTCAGTGGAAAATGCGGGTTAAGTGGAAAGCATGCGGTAGGAGACAGCATCGGTTGTTGCGTGAAATCAATATGTGAATGTTTCATCTCTGGACCCTGTCCAGAGGAGGAGGTGACCCACACACCGGGCAGCTGGCTTTGACTTCCATCACATTTCCCCTTCACACAGGTGACTTCTGCTCCCTGTTACCGTCACAGTCCAGAAACAACCCACTGCCCACGCACACGCGTGTTCAAATGCAGCAAGAAGGCCTCCCGCAGGAACCCGTTGGGCCTAATGATATTTGAGCAGAGACAGGTGACCTGTGCTGGTAAACATGGGTAGCTGATGTGTCGGTTCGTGTCATTCGCATGGCGTGATTACGCCGGTAATCTGTTCTGGTCCCCCTCTGGCAGCTGAGCCCCAGCTCCCAGCTCTGCAGACGCACACACACACACATGCATAAACTGGCTGTTCTATCTTTGTGTTGATCCACCGTAGGCAAGACATGTCCTCCGGCCGCTCACCTGAGCCCCAAAGCGAATTTTAAGGCCCAAAAATCTGTAGCAATCAGGCCACAACGAAAGTCGCCCGACGCTACAAGTAATACAAGCTCCTCGTTTTTAGACCTTCGAAATACGTCGAATCAATCTGAGTCAAATCTGAAACAAATACCAAACATGGCGCTCCGTGCCTGCCTGGGGTAGTGATGCATTCAGATATTCAGAATGTGTGTCTAGAGTTCGATTTTACTACATCGTCATCCACTAAGACTGGCTCAAATCTCATCTAGTCGTCAGAAATGGGTTTGAATATTTACTGTTAGTATATTAGCAGACTGCATTACTTTTTTTCTTTATTCCTTTTGTTGTATGTGCCAGGTTATTATCATAATTAATTGTAAAGTTGTTGGTTGCAGATATCGTTTTGCATAGCATTTTGTAACATGATACCAGTTTGTTAGCGCAGCCTTGATTCCCTCATAAACAACAATACCCCAAAGCCCAATGTGACACAATTAAACAGACCAACAAAACAAAAAATGGAAAGTCTTCATTGGATATTGTAAAAAATAAAAAGGGACATTCTGAATTTTTTTTTTTTTTCTGAATTTGCTCTGTGCAACTTATAAACTTAAACTTATAAAATAACACAGCCTGTAAAACTGAAATCCGTCCACCAAATAAACAAGTCTAAAAAAAAATTGATTGCGTCTGTTTTTCATTTTGAGCTCCCCGCCATAAATCTTTGTTGTGGCTCTGGGA